GCCCGCCTCGGCCTCCCAGAGAGCTAGGATTACAGGCGTGAGCCACCGCGGCCGGCCCAAGATTACCTTATTTTTAATACTAGTTATTTCTATTGATCCTTTTTAACACACTAAAATATAGATAACAATCCTTTCTTGATGTTTGCAGTAATGTAAAGCAAAACTGTTTAGTGTTAAAATAATACTTCAAATAGTGTCTAAAAATTATTACAAAAAGTAAGAGACTGCATTAATGTTCAACATGTTAAAGTAGGTATTTCAAAATAAGTAATTCACCAAAATGATTTTTATGCATATTAAAATTTGGGTAGTATTGCCTAGTCTAGAAGAGAACAGTAGTTCACACACTTCAGCATGCATCAGAACTATCCAGAGGTTTTGTTAAAGCATGGACGAGGCCCCTCTCCAGAGTTCTGATTAGGTAAGTGACACTTCTCATGTCTAACAATATCCCAAGTGCTGCTGTGGGCCAGGGACTATATTTTGTGAACCGCTATCATAGACAGGTGGGTAGGCAGATTCTAGCTCTCATAAAGAAACTGAAGAGGTTGCAGGAAAAAAAAAAAAAAAGGAAAGAAAAGAAAAAACCTTGAGCATGCCCTATGTTCCCACAAACATTTAAATATGAAAAAAGTATTTTGGTTAACTTTGGGAAGATGCTTGACAAAGATATTCAAATGAATGCTGCTCTAAACACATTTTATAAAGGGATATGATTCAATAAGAATTATTATTACATTTTCTAATAAGAATACATCAGAGACAAAAATAACAAAAATAAATAAATCTTAATATGATTTATTTATCAGTAATATCAGAACGTTAGAGGGGGTTTTGGAAGTGATATTTGAAGGATATATCTGATGATGGGAGATAACAGAGAAAATTCTAATATACCAAATATTTAGGATTTGCTAATAGTTTTTAATGTCATCAATAATATTCATTGTAGTAGAGGAGTAGTTGAGAGAATAATACTGATGTTGTTCTATAGTCTTTTATATACTTCGAGAGAACACTTAATAAGAGATGTTTAAATTATACTCAGATATAATCTACGAAATTTACAAATTGAAAATATCTATATTCTATGACATTATTAATTGCAATTTCACAGGGATTTTATCAATATGATATTTAAAAACTATTTAAAATATAAGCGATGACTCTCAAAAATTTGAAAACATTATCAAATGAAAAAAGAGGAAGAGAAACTATCACACTTACAGGAGGGCCTTTTGGTCCAGGGAATCCAACTGGACCCTGAGGTCCTTGAGGACCCTAAAAAAATAAAAAGCAGTCGAGAAAACTTAGCAAGGTATTTACACTCGAGGTTCATTTCTACAGATAAAATATAATGTAGCAGACAGCTTCATCACTATAGTGACAAAACTATGGCAATACAACATGATAATACGTGCTAATCTACAAGCAAAATGGATAATTTTTCACACTATTCAGTACTCAAAATTGTATATTACATCAATGTTCTTACCTTAGGAGCACTTTAAATATTCAGAATTCGTATTAAAAAGTGAGAAAAAAAGGAAGTATAGAGAAGTTCTGCAGCTTCTTTACTTTCAACATTGGCTAGAAACATTTATAGAAGGAGATATTTTAATTCAATTCAATTCCATAGTCCCCAAAAGAAAAATTATTTTTAAAATTAACTTCATAAATGATCTGGATCTAGCCATACAGAACTACAAGGCAATATATGTGACTATTACGAAAAGACCTTTAGAAGATACTTTTAACTAGTCTCTGTATTTAAGATATTTATTTTTGAGGATGTCAATATCTCATTTTACTCATGTATAAACTTCCTTTGTAGATAAGATGAAAAGAACTGTATAATTATTTTTATCAACATTCAGTCCAAATATACACTTATATTATCATTCTTGGCTTGATGCTTAATTAAGTATATCATTAATCTCTCATATTTACATATCTTTAAAATGCATAAAGTAGACCCTATTACACTGACTATGTTGGTGGCAGAAAAAGAAACTGATAAAAGATAGTCCTTTATATGCCCAAAACATAATAATTATATTTCTATAAGGAAGATACATAAATGGAAGATAACATACATAAAATTTCTTAAGTAATACAATTAGGTTAGGATTTACATATTTTCTGATCAAAAATAAAGTATACTGAAGTTGGTCTTTAATAGAATTTACTCTTTCTATTTATCAATCTAGCCTTCACAAAGAAAATCTCATTACCATTCTTAAGCCAATGTTAGTTCAGAAATCAGCACAAGTTTTTACTATTATCAGCACCTTATTTTAAAGTCAAAAAGAAACTTCAAAGTTATACATCAAGTTTAAAAAGCAGATGTCACATGAAATTACCAAAATCACTCAGCAAATTTTAGGAACTTATACATTTTTAAACTCTCATTAAACTACAAAATTATTATTCTTAAATATTTACCCTAATAAG